TGGAGCTGGGCCCCGAGGGCCGGGCTGGAGCCAAGCCGGGCCAGAGCCGCTGGGGCCTGCGGGAACGGGCCGCGCCTCCCCGGAGCCCTTCTCCCGCCCCCACCCGAGCTTACCTCGTGCTGCCCGCCGGCCCGCCCCTGCTTAGTCTCAGAGATTCGCGGGACGCAGGGGAGGGGGCGGGGCGTGCAGGGGAGGGGAAGAGGGGGAAGTGAGCGGGGGGGCGGGGCGGACAGCTGCAGCGCGGGGCCCTCTTAGCGCGGGGCCCAATTCAGCCGAATCGGCTGAATCGGCCTAAAGCCGGCTCTGGCAGCAGTGCAGAATTCTCCCAGAAGTAGGGTTTGTAACCATTTGTGGTCTCTTTTCTTATATTCAGATAATAAGATCTCTGGGCAGGAACCATCTCTTTGTTCTGTGTTTGTACAATGAGGTCCAGTCAACGGGGCTCACAAATACTAAGTATATAATTACAAAGTGTAGGCAAACCCCACGTGAGCTGGGTTCTATTCCACGCTGTGCGTCCTCAACAGATTTGACAAGTTTCAATGGGTCACGCCTCCACGGGAAGCAGCAGTCAGCTGTTGAGGCGACTGTTGCACAATGCACGACACGTGATTACGCCAGCAGCCAAGCCCCTTGATGACTCATTGGTACGTGATTACGCCAGCAGCCGAGCCCCTTGATGACTCGTTGGCACGCGCAGGGCAGTTTAGTTACTAGTGTGTCTTCAACAGAGAAACTTCATCTCGCTCAGTTGTGTTTCCCAGGGCCCTTGTTGCAGGCCGCGAGGTAAGTATTGGGATGCCAGAGAACACCCCAGGGAGAAACAAGAGGTTTAGCTAGGGAAGGGCTGGAGAGTGCGTGTTGGGGGGTGGGTCGGGCTGAAGGGAGGCGCGGGGGAGAAATAGGCTGGAAGCGGGCAGATAGGGTCTGAGGGAAGCCCGGGCGCGGGGCTCCCAGCGCCCCAGGCTGACTACAGCTGTTCTGAGCGCGCTGGGGGAGCCCCCCCATCTCTGGAGCCGGCGCGGGGAGACGGCTGCGTGGCGCTCCCCGCAGAGTCCAGCGTCAGCGTTGAGAGGGGCGGGCGGGGTGCGAGCCTGGAACACGTAGGGGCTGAGTGGGGCCGCGCCTAGGAACCTGGCCCTCTGCCGGGGACACGTGACCGCCTCCTTTCCCGCACGTCACCCATCCATCCCCCTTTTCGTAGATCAGCCCCACGCCGTCACCTACTCACCCGGCTTTGAGCAGGCGCAGTAGCAGGGCTACGCGCTCTACCGCCCCCACTGTAGCCCAGGGAGTGGGAGGATACTTCCGCCCCGCGGAAACGTCACTTCCACCTCCGTGCATGGGCGTAGTCAGGCTAGGGCTGCTAGCTGAGGCAGCTGGCGCAGCTTCTACTCCCGCCCTAATAGGTCACTTCCGCCCTTCTTCTGGGCCGGAGGCCGGGCCTAGGGCTGCCCGTGCACTCAGAGTTGTCGCCGCGTGGCCCCTCCGCAGCGTGGGATCCCTCTGGCTCGGCGGTAAGTCACACCCTCGAGCTGGTTCCCCGCTTAGCGTCTCCCTCCGGCCTCCAGTGTTCCCTCCCGCTAGGCTGGGGGAGGGGCCTTTAGTAGTAGGCGGGTGAGTCCGCCCACTTCCCGGTTCGCCAATACGGTCTCCCTCCGGCCTCCAGTGTTCCCTCCCGCTAGGCTGGGGGAGGGGCCTTTAGTAGTAGGCGGGTGAGTCCGCCCACTTCCCGGTTCGCCAATACGGTCTCCCTCCGGCCTCCAGTGTTCCCTCCCGCTAGGCTGGGGGAGGGGCCTTTAGTAGTAGGCGGGTGAGCCTGCCAACTTCCCGGTTCGCCAATACCGTCTCCCTCCGGCCGCGGGGTGTGGGTGTGTAAATAGCAGTGTGGGGCGTTGGCTCGGGACTGAGGGGTATCCGCAGAGCTGGGTGGGTGCTGGGTAGCCCAGGCTGGAATAGCAGAGGAGCTGTGAGTTGGGATTGAGGAGCGTTGGCAGTGCTGGGTGGGTTAGCCCAGGACTGGAATAGCAAGGTGGGGGGTGGCTGTGTGTCAGGACCGAAGGACAGAAACAGAGCTGGGGCAGGATGGAGATCCGGAAGTGCAACTGTGTGATGAAATCCCTCCTTTAACACGAAATCTCAATACAAGTGTGTATGTGGAGATGCTCTTAGCAACTCTGCAAATTGTATATTTGTGGGCTGGTCCATAGTGACCCCCCCACTTCGAACTAAGATAGTTCAACTTCAGCTACGTGAATAACGTAGCTGAAGTTGCGTATCTTAGTTTGAACTTACTGCGGGTCCACACGCAGCAGGCAGGCTCCCTCGTCGACTCCGCGTATTCCTCTCACCGAGCAGGAGTACTGGCGTCGACAGCGAGCACTTCAGGAATTGATCCCAGAAGATCGATTGCTTACCGCCGGACCCGGAGGTAAGTATAGACATACCCTGTATAACATTCTGCTCACAGAGTTGAAACAACCTTCAGCTAGGAAGTTGTGTAAAGTTCTGATTGCATTAACTCCTTTGTTCTGTTATGTTCGTATTGTTCATGCTGCCTTAAGTGACTGTAACTATATGCTCTTGTGTAAATGAACAACATGGTTAAAACTGTATGAAAGTTATACTTGGTGAATTTCTTCACAAAAATGTCATTTTGTTGTTTGTTTTTAGAAACTGTTATCAACATTTGTAAAGTAGTTTTGCTGCAACAATTCATAGACCTTAAGGTCCGAAGAGACCATTACAATTGTGTAAGCTGACCTCTTGCATAACCAGTCCAAAGAACCTCACCCAGTAACATCTGTATGAAGCCCAAAACTTCTTTTTGAGCTATAGCATATCTTTTTGAAAGATATCCAGTCTTCAAATGATGGAGGATCCACCACATCCTTAGGTGACTAATTACCCTTAGTGTTAAAAATATGCACCTTATTTCCAATCTGAATTTACCTAGTTTCAATTTTCTAGGCAGGGGATCAATCTCATTCTACCTTTTTCTGCCTCATTAAAGAGCCATCTGCTATAAGAAATCTAACTCTTAAGTATATATTTGTAGACTATGATCAGGTCATCTCTTAAGCTTCTCTTGGAAGGTTGAGAATCTGTGAAGAAGTCCTTGTAAAATAGATTGAGAAACTAGCTTCATTTGTTTAGTCCGCCAGCTGCAGCTTCCCCCTTCTAATCTGTATAGGAAGTTAGTTTGTTAATGCCAATTAAGTCCTGTATTTAAAGAATTACATTTAAGATAACAGTAGAAATCAGCTTCTCAAGTTACAGCTAGGTAGGTTACCATCCAGATAATGTGATTTTTCTTTTTTAATGTTAACTTTGTGTAATCTCTGGTTATCACTTTGATCACTTTAAAATTTAATTTCTCTGACTGCTTCTTCCCTGTGTGTATTGTGATAGTCACTGATTGTTGGGGTAAACAATAAAGATTGTAGTACTTTGAGAAATTCTCAGATCTATATTTCCTTAGCTAAGCAACAGAATTTCTCAAATTCATGACAGTTATTTAAAATGTAGTGAATCATTTTGTTTCAACACCTTGATACTTCTTTTCTGCTATTCTTGACTTAATCCTAAATAATGCACCAAAACTGATTTAGAAAAGAACTCTAGTTGCACCACTAAGGCTTCATCTACACTATGCAACTTTTAGCGACACAGCTGTGTCATTACATCCGTGTCACTAAAAGTCAGGCAGTGTAGTTGCTGTTTGTTGGCTCTTCTGCTGACAAAATACTTCCACCCCCAAGGAGTGTCGTAGCTTTGTTGGCAAATTATTTTTGTCTTTTGAGGGGGGTGTCATTTAGCACCTGTGAACAACAAAAGTTTTGTCATTCAGTTGTCAACGTAGACATAGCTACACTTTGTCTACGCTGCCAGTTGAATGACAAAACTTTCGTTGTTCACAGGTGCTTAACCTCCCCCCCACCTCTCCCCAAGTTTTGCTGCAGCAAGTGGCAGGGTAAATGGCTAGTTGTCAGCAGGAGCGCTCTCCTGTCGACAATGCAAACCCTGCTCATAAGGCGTGGAAGTATTTTGTCGGCAAAAGTGCCTGCAAACAGTGTTTACGCTGCCCAACTTTTAGCAGCATGACCGTGTTGCTAAAAGCTGTGTAGTATAGACAAAGCCTAAGTAATAGCAACTGCAGTACAATTACATTTAATGGCCAAGCGCGAAGAAAAGTAGAAAGGTTATACTGGGGGTATCTTTAAAACTAACATACATATCTTTACTCTTACTTTGTTGCCTCCTTCTCTACCCACACACAACACTGTTCGTATATCAATCTGTTGTCTTGCTATACTTCTGGTATGTGACCTATCTGGGGAAGGGACTGTCTTTGTTTTTCTTTTTTGTAGGGTACCCAGCACAATGGGGATTTGATCATAGATTGGGGCATTAAGTGCTACTGCAATAGAAATAATAAAAACCACCATGGTGACAAACTTTAGAAAGGGGAAATGTTTTAATGAAGAAACAACAAAAAGAGCCTAAAAATCACAAAAAGGACATTAAAATCCTTAGATTTAGCATGGAGGTTGCTTAGGGATACAGCAAGAGTCTCAGAAGATGTGCATACCTCTGAACAAGAAGTACATGGTTATAGCTAAATGGCAAGGATTCAGAGGTAATTTGGGACAAACAGAAATGCTTCAGAATATGGAAATCCAAATCAAGTATAGCTAATGGAAAGGAGTATAAACTTTAAGAGGCAATACATCAGAAGGAAACTAGCTTGGGTTGGGATGAAATTTAGAGAGCAAAGAGCTAAAGGTATAATAACAAACGAGATTTTTTTTTAAATCTTTCAGAAACGGGAAGGCTGCAAAAGAATCAGTGGGTCCCTTGGAGTAAAGGGAGCAATTAAGGAAGATACAGACATTGGTGATAAGCAAAATCATTTCTTGGCATTGGTCTTTGCCAATGAGGACATTTAGGAGATACTTACTTACTTTTCTGGTAATCAGGCTGAGGTACTATCAGAGATTGAATTGTCAGAAGAAGAGGGGTAATAAGTCACCAGGCCCAGATGGTACATTCAAGCTTTCTGAAGGAGTTTAAGAATGAAGGTGCTGAGCTGTTAGCAAAAATATGCAACATCATGTTAAAAACAGCTACAGGATTGGAGGATAGAAAATGTTATATCTATATTTTAAAAAATGTTCTAAGTACAAGTTGGGGAGCCTTACTTCTGTAACATAAATTGGTTGATAATTAAAATCGTAAAACACCTGTTGACCGTGATCTGTTACGGGGAAAAACAGCAGGTTTTTTGCAAAGGAATAGGAGGCCTAACTTATCGGTTAAAATCTTAAACCATGTCAGCAAACCATGGATAAAGGAGACCTGGATAGGCATAATTTATTTGGAATTTCAAAAATCCTGTGACAGTCCTTCAAAAGAGAATACTAAGAAATGGGCTAGGAGTAGGAATGAATGGCTAATTTTCCTCATGGCAAAAGGATAACAATGGGGTTCTGTATAGATCCTCTGTTTAATAGATTTATTAATGATCTGGAAAGAAGGTTTAGTAGTGAGGTTGCAAAACTTGCACTAGATACAGTTATTTGGGTTCCTCAAGTCCGGAGAGGATGGTGAGGAATTTCAGAGATCTAAAGCTGAGTGAATGGGCACCATAACCAGATTAAATTCTGAGTTGACAAACGTAAAATAATGCACATTGGAAGGGGTAATTCTAAAGCCTCTTGGCTCCTAAAATAAATGTAACAAGTTAGGAACTTCAATGTGGCCAGTTCAATGACGACCTTTACTCAATGTGCCACTGCTGTTCGAAAAGCAAACATAATGTTAATATGCATGAGGAATGGGGTGGAGAATAAAACAAAAAAAGTCATTATGTAAATAAGTGGTTCATTCTCTTATTGAATATTGTCTGTAGTAGTGATCACTCTAAGAGGGAAGAATGCGAGGTGTTTAGAGAAGGGGGGTGAGAATGATCAGGGGGGCCTTGAAAATCCTTCATATAAGGAGAAATTTATAAGTTAACATAACATATGGTAATGTTCACATTAGAGATGCGATGAATAATAGAAGAAGTGATAAAGGGGGATACCAAATAGCATATGGGAAAGGAAGTTTGGGTGCTCCTGTTCAGTCTTTCTCATAATACAAGAACAAGGAAATATTCAATGACCATAAAAAACAGCTGATTTAAAACTGGTCAAAGGAAATACATATTCATATGTAACCCTTCTGCCCATCAGAGTTGGCGGCAACAAGGGCTGGATTCAGTGTCTGGGGGTTCCTTTTCAATAACACAAGGCAAAACTTGCTCGAGCCCCCACCCAGTGACCTAGGACAATTACATACCACTCCCCTGGGTGCCTCTAAGAGGCAATACTTCCCCTCTTGCAAGCACAGAGTCTGAGTATAGCAAAAACCTTTTAATAAAGGAGGGAAACAATGCGGCATTATGTTGGGGAAACACTACAACCAGGATTCATAACAAAATCCATGAGCAAAGACCCACCCCCAAGGAAGTTTG